ATAAGATAAGATGTACCTTTTTTGATCCCCCGTAGGAGAAAGTCAAGTTAGACAAAGCAGCATAGGGGAATGTAGTGCAAAAAGTACAGAAGTGTACAAGTACAATAAGAATCACAAAATAAGAATATTATAAAATATAATAACTATAACTATAAATAAAAAATATATACACTATATGCAATATGCAGTAAAATGGTGTGCATTGCAATGTGCTATTTGAATAAAAACATCCCTATCACACATCTTTCCAGTACCAGTTAAAAATGCTTTCCGTTCAAAATTAATGAAACCTTAAATGTTTTCTGCAAAAGAGAATTTCTTCATAAGGAAAAAAGGACACTGACCAACAACCTTTCACCACAAAAAGGGGAGATTCTTCAGCCAACAAGGGCTGGAACCATGACCCAAAAACCTACTCTAATAACTAATAACTAATATTCAACAATTATCCAAACATTTAGTAATCAAAAGTGTTTATATTTATTTAAGGATCCCCAGTAGAACCACATGTGCTATTAGTCTTCATGGGGTCCTGAACATAGAAACACAATACAGACGATAAGAAAGTAGCCGAGAGACAACAGATACACAAATGAGAGAAATTAATAATGAAGTAATAACAGACCTACCAGTACAATCGAACATAAAAAAAAAACACTTTGTTATTAATGATATCTTTAGGTTGAGAATTCCAGAGACAGTGAGCTAATTTCATGCAGAGGGCTGCTCTTACTTGGCCCCCAGGCAGCATTGGTTTCTTTTCTCTTCACACCTTCTTCCCACAGTAACAATCAATAATCATCCACACACATTGATAGAAAATGTCAAGAGAGGCTTTTTAAGGCTTCTAACCTTCTCTATTCCTTAAAGCTCAATTCACCTACATTTTAAAATCTCACTTACTCAATCTCATACTGTTGTGGTTGTGTCTCCCTTGAGGACTATGCAAACATGTTACCGTACTTTATCACAAGGAAGTGAATAAGATACAGCTGCAAAGCTGCTGCTTGCATTTCCTGCCAAAAGTCCCCTATGAGTCACCCATATGGAAAATTACGAAAGAATCTTATGATAAGACGAAAGAAAATAAGCTGTCAAACCAGTCTTAAAATGTACCTCTGCCAAACAGGTTATTTAGTAACTACAAAGATTATATATTCTGTTTAACTATAGGACCTGTATTGTTTTGTAATTATTTGTGAATATACTTTTGCCTTAGTTTTCAAACTAAAAAGTAATGCATTTTATCTAATACTTACCACACTATCTATCTCTCTTCCGTTCCTTCTAGTCAAGCTCTCAAATGTCTTTCTTGTAGTCCACAAAACTATTATTTCCTTATATTCCCTTACTGTTTACTTTAGTCCTCGTACCTTTACTTCTATCTGAAACCCCGTCACTATTCAGAGGAGACAGTGACAGTGGTCTGATATACGTGCCTAATTTTTCTTCTTCCATTAAGCCACACCCACCTAAAATCTGCACACACTGCTCCTCTGTGACATTGTGCATATTTTTTGTCTTGACAGCATGACAGAGGGAGGAATATTTTCTGGGCACAGGTGGGATTGGGGATAAATTAAGAGCACACAACAACCAATAAATCAAAATGTTGACAAAGTTTTGAATTATGAGATTAATTGATTTAGTGTCTCATGAGTTTTATTTACTGTGATTTGTTTTTCTCAGTCACATAACACAGAAATTAGGTTACATTGTGTTTTGAAAAGTTCTTCCAATTTAAAACCATGTTTAAAACACATACAGGCCAACAGTGTGTCAGCCTTTTAAACAGAATATGAGGAACCTGCTACAGATTCAGTGAAAAAGATCAGTAACTTCTAAACAAATGTGATTATTTCA